GACACTTTCACTGCAACTGTCAGAGCAAAGCAGGAAACACTACGTGACATCACTAAGGAATCATCCGTGGAAGACCATTGGAACTCTCTGAAGGTAATTTTCAACGAAACGTGCTCAACGGTTTTAGGAAGAAAGAAGAAACTAGACAAGGAATGGCTCTCAACAGACACTTGGAAACTAATAGAGGAGAGGAGAAAAGTGAAAGAGAAAATGATTCAATGCAAAGATGGACAAGAGAAAGAGACGCTGAACTCAACTTACACAGCACTGGACAAAGAAGTGAAGAAGAGTGCCAGGAAGGATAAAAGACAATTCTACGACAACCTGGCTACTGAAGCTGAGAAGGCAGCAGGCGAAAGGGACCTGAGGACACTATATCAGATAACCAAGTCTCTATCCGGGAAGAGATCAACACAAGTGAAACCTATAAAAGACAGCCAAGGGAACCCAATTACCAAAGAAGAAAGACAGATTAAACAATGGGCGGACCACTTCAAAGGACTCTTGAATCGACCACCACCTACAACCCGTCTAGTAATACCAACAACAGCACGTACACAACTGCAAGTGGACACCAATCCTCCAACGAAAACTGAAGTCATGAATGCAATCAAGCTTCTGAAAGCTGGAAAAGCAGCTGGACCAGATGGAATACCCCCGGAAGCACTGAAAGCTGACCCAGAAACGACGGCAGACATGCTTACTACATTATTGCAAAAGGTCTGGAAGGAGGGAAAGGTGCCTACTGACTGCAGAAAAGGTTACCTGGTGAAACTACCAAAGAAGGGCGACCTGGGACTCTGCAAGAACTGGCGAGGAATCATGCTCCTGTCGACGCCAAGTAAAATCCTGAGTCGCATCATCCTGGAGAGAATCAAGGACGCACTGGATACAGAACTCCGACCAGAACAAGCTGGATTCAGGAAAGGCAAATCATGTTCTGACCAAATTGCAACTCTACGCATTATCATCGAACAAAGCATGGAATGGCAATCAAATCTCTACCTCAACTTCATAGACTTTGAGAAGGCCTTCGATAGCGTTGACCGCGAAGTAATTTGGAAACTACTCGAGTACTACGGCGTACCCCAAATATTCATCAACCTTATTCAACAACTGTACGACAACGGCACATGTCAAGTGATCCACAACGGAAAACTCAGCGAAGCGTTTGGGGTAAACACAGGAGTCAGACAAGGGTGCTTATTATCACCAATGATATTCCTAATTGTCGTGGACTGGATTATGCGTCAGACAGTGGGAAACGAGAAGACAGGGATATCCTGGACCGACGTGAAGAACCTAGAAGACCTGGATTTTGCGGATGATTTATGTTTGATGTCACACAGAATCGAAGACTTACAAGCGAAAACCGACAAACTGGTCGAAGAAGCAGCCAAAGAAGACAGGACTCCAGGTGAACATAGACAAGACGGAGGTTATGAAAATCACCAACCAACAACAGCGGCAACATCCAGTGCCAATCACCATCAATGGGAGGGATTTGAAAGAGGTTACTTCTTTCACTTATCTAGGGAGCATTGTCTCAACCACAGGAGGAACGGACGAGGATGTCAAATCGAGAATCGGGAAGGCGAGAAACACATTCATCAACCTGAAACCAATCTGGAAATCTTTGTCACTCAGCCTGCATCAACAACAAAATTCGGATTTTCAATACAAACGTCAAGTCAATTCTGCTTTACGGATCAGAAACTTGGTGGGTCACAAAGAATATTTCCAACAGGCTGCAGAGCTTTATCAACAACTGTCTTCGCTCCATACTGAAGATTAGATTGCCGGAAAGAATCACAAACAAGAAGCTATGGGAACAAACGAAACAGGAAACAATCGCCCAACAAATATGCAGGAGAAAGTGGAGATGGATTGGACACTCGCTGAGGAGGCCGTTGAGTGACATCGCGCGTCAGGCCAGTGTTCGAGTGGAACCCGAAAGGGAAGCGGAGAGTGGGACGTCCAAGGGTGACATGGAGGAGATCGTGTGAGGAGGAGATGAAACAGTATGGAATAACATGGACGCAAGTGAAAAGTACAGCAGAAGACAGAAGCAAGTGGAGACGTGCAGTTGAAGCCCTATGTTCCACTAGGAACCCAAGGGAACAATAATAATAATAATAATCATAAAAGAGGTGCAGTAAAGGAAACACTGGACTGAACACTTCAAAGGACTTCTAAATCTACTGCCACCTACAACGCTCCCAATAATACCAACAGCAGAGGCAGAACTACCAGTGGATATCAACTCTCCGACGACAACAGGAATGCTGAAGGCAATCAAGATGCTGAAAACTGGAAAAGCGTCAGGACCAGACAGAATCCCAGCGAATGGAATGGAAATGGACAGAGAGACTTCAGCGGAGTTGATGACACCCCTACTGGAGAAGGTGTGGAAAGAGAGCGAGGTACCTGCAGATTGGAAGAAAGGCTACTTATTCAAACTACCAAGGAAAGGAGACTTAGGTCCATCCCAAGCAAAATACCAAGCCGTATCATGCTGGAGAGAATCAAACAAGCCCTGGATAAAAAGATTCGACCTTGACAGGCTGGATTTAGGAGGAACAAGTCATGCATCCATCAGATCGCAACACTAAGTATCATCATTGAACAGAACTTGGAATGGCAGTCAGCTCCCTATCTCAACTTCATTAACTTTGAAAGGCCTTCGACAGCGTCGACTGAGAGGTGTTTTGGCAACTGCTTCGCTACTACGGGGTGCCGCCAACAATTTTACATGCAACACAGGTGACTCAGTACAACTGTCAACAACGTGGAATGTAATTCTGGATACAAAAGAGTCAATAAATGACATTCATGATAAAAGATTATGTATGAATTAAAATAAATCCCAATAGCCTGTGTGATCACAGGCAGTAATTTCGCCTGAAATATTTACAAAATCAAAAGCTTATCACTGTGTATAAACAACAATTGAAATATGATTATAATTCGTTTATCTGTCACACAATGTGCAAATTCCTCTCAGATATTTCGCATTTCCAGCTGAAACATTGCGTCGGACTGGAAAAATGAAAGACTAGGAAAGTAGACGAGAAACATGTGACCTACATTCCATCAAACACAAGTTTGAATGGGACAGGTTTAGAAATACTTGTGAAGGGGGAACTTGGATATCAAGTCAAGAAGTGTTAACCTCCTCACACACTCTCGTTCTGGGTCACTCTTTCCAACCAAATACTGTTACTAGTGGTTATTCCAATTCACCCATGGAAGTACACTTGTCCCACTCCTGGAAAAGAAATCATCCAAACGATATCTCCACTTAGCCTCAAGCTTTTCCTTTTCAATTTCATCACGATGTACTCAGATTATGACAAGTCCATGAGACAGAGGAATTCGATTCAAAGTTGTTTCCATTGTTTTGTTGGGATCATTCAATAAACCAGATACACTGTTAACCCATACTACGTGTTCGGAATGAAATAATTACTATAAGTCGATGTGAGCCATTTGAGTGTTTGAGAAATTCGAGAATATCTACGGTTTTTCTCACTCCATTATTCAATTTAATCAATAAAGCCAGACAAAATAAGACACTGTTTTCTGTAAATATGATGATGGCTTCACAATTAAATGACCAAGCTCAAAGAACACAGTTACGTCAAGAAGCCTCTAAATGAACCAGGAATCAACTCCATTATTTTAATACAAATTCCATTTGAAATAAGCGTCGTTCTTTGATCGATAGCCTTCTCAAATGAAGTAATACGTATATGCCTCCTGACTTAATTCTTAGATAACTAAATGTGCTTACTGTTACAATGTGTTACATACACACTTGCATACAAACAACCACATGAGAACAACATGCATAATAAGACGATTATGTGACAAAAGTCATTTTGTGTGAAGTATAATCAGATTTAGAGTGAGAATGGACTATGATCCTTCAATATGTAAAAATGCGTCAATAATCGTCAAAGAAGTCGGAATATATACATATATATATATAAATGAGAAAATACGTGAAAATATTCTTGAACGCAGTAAATTTCGAAGCTCTGAGGTACAACCAGTAAGTGAATTTAAGCTGCATCTCTTCTGTCATTTGCTGTCTGTTTGTTTGACTTATTACTAAGTTTGCTGAAATATGAATACTAAGGTGACGATTTTAGTCTGACTTTGATCATGTTCGAGATATTTCACTTGAGTATGAATATAGAAAGTACGCTTAATCACATTTTATTAGGTTTTATGGATCTAATCAATGTGGAGTGTTGGTGTATGATGACTAGGTGTCTAATGTACTCAGAATTATGTGAGGTTGGAGGTATGGGAATGATGCTCGCATTAATCCTCCCAAATCTTGTGGCAAGGTGTCATCGTCTGATACTTGCATGCATATATTGACTCTGTATATATGGCCAAATAAAACCAGTTTTTCTCTGATGATACAGTAGGCTGTTTCCTCAAAGTTGATGTCGTGTTTGAGAAAGACAAATGAGATTTTCTCCAACCCACTCAAAATCGTACAGCATACTCTTCCATACGATCACTGACTCCGACTGATCAACATTCGCAAACAGGTGTATTTCTCAAGTGTTACGGAACCTGAATTATGTTCAAATAATCTGACAGTCATATCCACACCATATTCTCCGTTGGCATATTTCGAAAGTCTAATCTATGTGTCCATTTTCATCATGTATATTCTGAGGTGATCAAGTTACTTCTGAACCGTTGTCATCTATAATTTTCGTCATCAATTTCAGCCCATTGGAAAATGTCACGGTTTTATGCATCATATGAGAATTCCAAGTATACCATCGGTAGGTTACTGGGAACCCCTTCACGTTTCAACATTTGGGTAAGATGAAAATGGATTGATGAGTGAGTAATTTTATTATTAGATCACAATAGATACACTCATTATGATAATGGTGACAGCTGGTGTTGTCCTTTTATTTACTTTCGTGTAAGAACAGATAAAATTTCCCAATGAAATATTATCTTGGTTGTAGGCACGGGATTTGTGAATTCTTCAAAAGGAATTTCTGGATAAAATTTACCATTTTGTAAGTTCTCTGTTCAACATTATTTATGGAATGTTCGATTGAATTCATCACACCTTGACAAGTGGAATTCATTTGTGATACAGAGCAGTAATCCAATTCACAGCACACTCGAGACCTAAATTAGTATTTACTGAATTGTCAAGAATTGAGAGTCTTAATTTATATTACGGCCTCAAGTTTTGGGAGATTCCGGTGTTATTCTGTATTCGGATAATCCATTATACATTTTGTTAATTAGGTTGAAATCCACTAAAGTGTGTATTTAAGCTCCAAGGATAGATATAAAACAGTTGGTTCATACAATAATTACTGGAATGAATTTTCCAGAGTAGAGTTTTCGTAGAAACACGATCACACAACGTCAGTAACAGAGATATCTCCAGTAGTAGTGGACATAACAATAGTCAATACCATATTTCAAGAATTCTACTAAAGTTTTGGCATGAATATTATTCAAATGGTGAGACGATGCAAGCCATTTATTGGTGTTTTTATCCAGTTTCTTTGCTAAAGCGTCTGAGCAGTTGATATTTCTACGTAAGTGAAAGTCAAATATGTAAAATTAATAGTTGCTAAGTACTTCCAAAAATTACTCGACGGATTGGAAACAACTGAAGTTAAAACACCTAACTTATAAATAATAGGATGCGTTGAACGATGCATATATCTGGCTCCACAGGAACAGGTGAACTAACGTATGCACATAGAAGTGGCCGGATGTGAGATCCCGTCTTTTAGGCTCCTCCACACCAGTGACCAACTGACGAACACCACTCTTAGCGTTTCTGTGAATAAAGTTCCCCTCGCTGAAACCGAAATTCCTCTCCTAAGACTATCACCAACTAGGTTACTCTTAAAGTCAAAGTTCATCTAAACTTTCATTTTTTGCATTTTGTATGTCTCTTTTGGATGATTTCTTTCTAAAACGTCTAATTCTTCTTTCAGAGAAGTTGAGCTACAGATGTGTGGGACACGAGTGGCTAGAGAAATATTTAGGTTCAATTCATGTTAACTTGGTATTCAGCTGGAGAAACGTATCAGTTGGCAGTCCCATGTAGTTCTCTTAATGATCGATCTTCCTAAAGACCCGTAGATTCTTCATGTAAATTCAACCTCATAAAAAGGAATTGAAGATTCATCTTCTACTGAAACAGTCAGCCTTGTCGGTCGATTACAGCTGTTGAACATGTGTAACACTAGTAATTGTGATCATGACTATCATCAGGGTTAATAAAAATATCATCCACTTATCTAGGACACAATGGAAACCTATCAATATTTAACTTACGTGGACCATTCCTGTGACTTGTCATGAAACAGGCTGCTTGCGACGAACCCACGTGAGGTCTCTTTGAAATCCAATAATTTTGTCTGTAGAAGATGTCGCTGTTCGTGAATGGAACATAGTATTTCCTTTGTTTCCATGTGCATGCATATAAAAAGTTACATATTAACTTTCCTATCTCACTACGTATTTCTGTCAATCTTATTCAACTCCTTACATGCACGCGTTAATATAATCAGCCATTCTTGTGACGATCCTTCCCTTTGTTAGCATTCAATTCAGTCATTACATGTGGGTTTCCTATCGATAAATCCTTATTAATGCGATTGTGCAGGTCAAGAAAATGAATTCTTCACGGAGCCGCATGTATTGACTTTGTCAGCGATATTAGGGCCCAGATGCAGCCTATTACTTATAGTTTATGTGCTTTCTCTCCAACTATTTCCAATCTGTCGAGCGAGATGTTGGAATTATTTGTCAATTATTATTTCTATAAATATGACCTTTTCTTACTTTGAGATATCAGCTGATCAGAAGTTTCAGCGAAATTATCGAATAAAATCTTGACAAATGGTTTGCATCATGTCACCATATGAATAATATTCATGACGAAACTTTAATTGGATTCTTGACACTTGGTATTGATTATTGTGATGTCCACGACTACTGAGGACTTCTGTTTTACTAATGTTCTGTGAAACGGTTTCCAGGTGTAGTGTACTCAATAAATGTCTTCTCAGTGTCTATATATTTGATCATTTGCTTTGATCTTAGTGAATCATTGTCTCATCTTGATAACCATGTCTGATTATGTTCAGACATGCACTGGAAAGTTTTGTATTTTATTTGACGGTCAGTAGAACTAACCACACAGGACCAAGTTTATTTATAAACAACCATGGAGGAGGCCTGAGTTGTTGGTTTACACTTTCCACATCCGTCGGTCTACTGACGACTGGACAGTGGGTCAACCTTAGTCAGTTTACAACCAAATTCAACCTTCTGTGGCTTACTTCGACTCCAGTTAATAGTTGTTCAGCCGAGTTAATTCGGGTCTTAACTTCGCTTACAGATGATATTAGGTTTTTTCTATCATCTGGTTGTCGTCAGACAAACCAGTTAAGAAACATCAATTATGTGGCAAAACGGCTCAACATATTTCTGAAGCTTAACACTGTTTGGGATGTTGTTTATATGAAAAAGAACGAGTGGTTGCATGAAGCACTGTGCCAATGGAGAGTTTGACAAATGCGAAACTGACGTTACAAACGAAGAATGGCATCGACATACCGAGACCATCACACTGAAAACCCTTTCTATTCAAAATGCAACTTCTGCATACTTGATTATTATGAACTGTGATGCACCAACCAAAATAACGCACAATTCTGATTAACTGTGTAGTATCTGAAACAAATTTTTGATGTTTGTGAATTTATTTCAGAGGAGTCGGTTTCCTTGTGTTACTGATATTCTTATTCGTGGAAAAAATTCGATCTCGACGAGTTGGTGTCTATGTCATGTTTTCAATTGTGGTAAGTGTCACGTTATAAGCCATACAATAAATTTTGAGGATGTAGGCTAACTTGATTTTGACTGAAGGGATATCATTTGGCGGGGCGTTTGAATGGGTCTACACTCACTACTACCTTGTCAAAGTGATCATCCCTGTGATTCACATCACACACCACTTTCATTATTTCACACATTGGCGATGTAACAAGGACTGCGTGGTTTTACTACTTACTCATGAGAAAGGACCTGAAAGCTGAGGCAAGTTGTCTCTTAGATACTCGTAAATGTGGAAACGTAAATCCACCTGTTGCATAAACAGGAGGTGTATACTGATGGACAGCTTGAAGGAATGAATAAACTGGGTGTAAGATGAATTCACTTCCCATCCTTAAATCAAGTCAACCTGTCCCGGATCAGCCTAGCATTGTTGCAGCACAATTATCCATGCCCAACGTGTCCATCCCACCTTGTTTAATGAACTGTGTATGTGTGTTTTTACTTCGATCCTTTTAGTCAGACAGTTGAACTCATGACCCAATCAGAGTATATTTGTGAACTCTTATTTTGCTGACCCATGTCTTACTTTGTGTTATTCTGTTGAGTTTATCTTATTTATTGATTGGTTAAGTAGGCAATTAAATTCTATCTTTGTGTCTATGCTTTATCTATCTCTTACTTGGGTTCATTCTTCTACTGACTGCTTACCTGAACGGTCGTGTCTGATCCGGCTAGTTCGTAATTTTGGCTTTAACGTTATTCCACTCTGATAGGGGTTCCTTGCTTTCTGTTAAGCATTGTGTATTGTACTCTTGAAACCGTTAAGGTTTGTTATATATATATTTATTGATTTGTTAATTAATAGTACCGTAGAAACAGTGACCGGCTTCTTGTTTGTTCTGGACCGGGATAGCCTTTATCTACGCGTGACTTAATTTCAAGCGATATTGCGCTTACACTGAGGGTCTCGAAATGTTCATTCTGCATGACTCACGATAAGAGTTTTGACGATTCTCTTCATTAGATAATTCAGTGAAGAAACATCTAAAATAAACTTCCTGTATAATAGGAAGCATTTCGAAGGAATGAATAAACTGGAGGTCTCGATATGTTAATTCTACATGACCTGGCATAGGATAATCGACGGTCTACTTCATTCTAACAGTCGAAACAATAGACATCTTAAAGAGATTCGTGAGAAATCAGATTAAGCGTTTTCCGAACTGCTATAGGCTTAGTCATTCTAGTAGTCAGGTGGTAATTAGTCGGCCAGTGCAGCTAACTGCAGTTTGCAGAGGTAACTCATGTCGACATGTATGGGATGATCCATGGTTCACAGAATGACAGTGACTTCGAACGAATTGTTTATTTTTGAGTGATTGTGAGTGATAAGAATGTGGCTCATCTGTTTGTCTATACAGGGTTGAGAATTTACTGTATTTTCAGTAGTCATTGTAAATATGTGTGTTTATATATGTATATGCACCTATCCAGTGTGATCACATGTTCTCATTTCGCCTTCTCCTTTGTCATAGATTGCAACGTTGTCTGTGGTATTGGCTGATATTTTGTCACCTGTTGGACTGAAAGCTGGACTCATATCTCTGGCCTGTATACTTGTGTTGGAAATTCCAATAGTTGTGACGGCTTTGCTCTTGCCTCGAATGAATGAGAAGGGGTTGGTAGTGTTTAACTCTGTGGCATGGACGTTGGCGATTGTGGGAGTCATTTTGACCGTTTTCTATGTGTTCTTCGAACAACAAGTAATTGCATGAATTAGTGTCTATAATGCATAAATTATTTGTATGTTATTTGTCAAAAGATATGAAATCTCTACTTCATTCAGAAATATCTCACTGCATCCGAATTCCAGTATCAATTCCACACTTTGGAATCTCATTTGATTCCTCCCAGGAGGAAGAGCGAAGCAGGAACGTCGAATATAAGAGGATGAGATGACGTCATTTCGTGAATGAAACGAGGAAGAGATTTCATAAGGAATTGGTTTGCGCTTTAAGCCAGACAGCCATGTGTCTCACCATCTACTGTCACTTACTACCGTATTTAAAGATCTTGGACAAGTGGAAACTATTATGCGATGCTTTCCACTGAAACTTCTGTGCATTATATGAACACTGTTCACACTGAGACTAACGTTGCTCTTATCATTTCACAGTCTCTTCCTAGTGTCTCCTAGTGCGGTGACAAGGAACAACTGATGGGAGCATCAGGGACGAATTCCTCGAATAATGAAATTTGTATTTAGAGAATATTAGGCGAAAACTGCCAGCGGAAACTATCATTGCTCCAATTTCCTCAATCCAACGATTCAAATCAAAACTATGTGCGCAAAGTAGCCAGTGTTAGACCTTGATTTATCCTGCCCATTAAACTCACAAAGCCAAGTAGTAGAATGTCAATCATGTCATGGTTTCTCTACTGACGCCTCTTGTTCACTCCAGAAGACTCCACTTTCTCATTTCAAAGTCAGTCTGATTGCTTCTGACCTGCTGATTTATGAAAGGTCATTTTCGCTAGTTAGGTAACCAATTGCATCCTCATTTTCATGCATGTCAAATATTGTTAACATTCAAAACAGCTTACAGTGAGTTTGGTTTCAAGAATATCCTACTGGTCATCCTCTTAATAGTCAACACTCTCGAATATTGGACATATTTAACTGATTACATCATTCCGGGATAATAACACTACTGCTTATCATCGCCTCACAACTACATGAAATCTTCCATATACTCCATATTTTTGAATGGATCAGGTTTTAGGCACCTGGAGGGTAAGGCGTGGGAGGATGAACGAAATCATTTCATCCTGATACACTTGTCATTCATGCTGTCTCTTCGAATTCTACATTTTGATTGGAAGAGTGAAGAACGACTTGATATTTTAGCACCTAACCTCGTCAATTTCCTTGTCACGTATACATATGGAATATAGCTCATTTGGCAACATTTCTCTGGTGTGACTGTCACATTCCGCGGAATATATATTGGACTAGCAGGGATGCGACTGTAGTCGAATTGGCCTAGTGAATAATCACATTTCTGTTGTCAGATAAAAATTGTGAAGTGATGCATTTGTTATATTTATTGAGTGAATGAAATACATTCGCATATTTCAGCCTCACCACATGCAGCCAGTGTCCCTGACAGGTGTGATTCAACTGTCAGCATGTTTCGATAATAGTCAGTGTCCACAGATCTCAGATCAGTAGATATGTCAATGTTGTAATTTGCATAGATTAACAAAGCATGTGAGTGTACCTCTTCCCTCATGATTTATTCCTTTCTCCTCGTATTTTCCTCGCAGATAATTTTAGCTCTGGCAGTAGCTTTCTGTATATTATACCCACTCTTCGTAAGTTTGTCATTTTATCGGTGTATCAACCATGTTTGTTTTGACGAGTAAATTACACGAATCACATCAGTTATTTGATAGTCGCAGAATTCCAGTGTGAATCACAGTATTGCTGAGTCGATTTGTGTTCATATTACATCACGAGGCACGATATTTGAGAGTGCATTTTCAGAGTAGATGACGTTGTACACTGTTGCACTTGACGGATTTCTAAATCACTGAAATTATGGTAGATTCACGCTTTTCACTGAGATGTATTAGTCATGATTCGAATTTATGCGAGTTCTGAATAATTCGACAACTAGCTCCTAGTGATTGGATCATACGAATTCGGGTTGTGTGTGTGGGAAATGGCTGGATTATTAGGCAGCTTGTATTATTTAGATTGAATGATATTTGTCAATGATTTCATAGTCCCTCACCAGCATTACGCACTTACATTTAGGGGTTTCCAACAACTTCACTGTGCATGTGAGACTGACAAATCATAAAATGAATAATGACATACTGGACCCGTTATTTTGCAACTGAAATCTTCTTCAAGGTGTGAACTGAATTCTCACTACAATACTGACAGCAAACAGACATTAGTCGCGATTTCTCATCAGTCCATGAGTCTGGTAGTGATTCTGGAGGAATGTTGTCTAATTGGTTAGAGGATAAAAGATAATACGATCCAAGCAAATTGAGACAGTAAATCAAACTAGAAGTGATGAATATCACCAGATGTATTTGAAAGACTGAAACTATTCGAGAAATAGTTCTTATCAAACTACCGCCCACGTTTAATCGACAAATAAGTTTAGAATCATCTGCTCAAGTATGATCTGTAAGCCGACAGTGTCTATATTTCATCATATGAAAACAATCCTATCACATTGGCTAGATTATTATAATTAATTTACTACGGTGAAATATGAATTGCTGTACACTTGAGATGACCGCCTGTATTCACTCATCTCTGTCAATAATCTTTCTCTTTCTCTACTTTGTAGTTATTGTTCACTTGTGTCAATAATTATGACTTGATCGCTTGGTGGATGGATTTCATCGCAGTAGAATTCACCACAGCTTTCATCATCTGGTTTTGTACGATAAGCATGTACGGCATTCTCGAAGGTACTTTAGCAATGTTCTTCAAAGAAACAAATAACACGGATAATAGGGGAAATACTTCCCCCGGTTTATCTTTTCTGGTAGACAGTTAAATATGACTATGTCACTCTTTAGTCGTCTTCAGATTTATTCTCATTTTTGTGATTTCTTTCTCCCTATGATGACGATATGATAATCATTGGTCCTCTTTCTCATATGAAGTTTGTCATTACTTGCACAGACATTTACACTGTGTTCAGTGTTCTGCTGTAAGAAAAACAAATAAAATATACCTGTAAACATCAACACCATCAAATGCACATTTATAAATATACATATGACTGTTTTTCAAACTGACTCTACACTTCAACATTTCTGAGAAGGCGACGAAGAAGAAGCGGAGTGATACAGTGGTCACAAAACGATTTACCCTTTCTGAACACAACAAATATCTTGTCAGTGATTAAGATTTAATGTGAGAGCGGTCATCCAGTTTTCAGCCTAGCATACCACAAGCATCAGTGAGTGCCACGATCGATCTACGTTGTCAGAGATAGATGGTCGATTCAGAGACTCACACTCTCATATAATTTTGGAAGAGAGATACATAGTTGTGAAAGGTTTCAGTGGAGCGCGAATGTGTCACCTGAATGCATATGCTTGAAAGGTTCACCAATCAGTTGAGCATACGAATAATAATTCATTAGTGATATTTTGTAAGCTTTCGAACTCAACGAAGTGTTACACACGATATGAGTAGTCTCGTGTGTGTGTGTGTGTGTTCGACACCAAGAAGGATAAATATCGTGTTTGACAATGAATGACTCAGGCCAATGAAGATGTTCGCAATGTGTCTATGTGAATTCTTTTGACTGTAGACAGGATATTGTAGAGATGTAAGGATGATATCAGTGGGATCAGACTTCTACTAAGACTGACAAGTTAAAATGTTCGTATGTGCTTGTATCATATGAAATCTTTGTTCCGTATAGATAGACATAAATCTCCTTCCTCATAGATAATCTCCGAATTAAGTAATATTCAAGTGGTTGTACGTATGAGGATGGAAATAATATGAAGGATTTCAGTCTTGATGAGACATGCAATTACATATGGGCAGATATCTCTACGGAATTTGAGGGTGGGTGGCTATGTGATGACGAAATCAGAAACAGCACTCCAGGGAATTGGATGGTGAAGTGAAAATGATCTTCCTCTCATAAGTATTCTGTTTTTGAACTAGTTCAGAACATCCCCTGTCAAATGGAGAATTTTAAGTTATTCCAGTTAGTCATCTCACACTAGTTTGATTATTGGATGTATCACAAAGTGGAATAGTTTCATCGACTGAGTGACGTCTCGAACACATCAATTATAATCACACGACTTCGAAACTCGATTTGTATATTCCCACTGTCTTTTACCAAGTTTGTTGTAAGGTTGGTTAATAGAATTCTCCAGATGTCTCGGATAGGTGTCTAGTCAATCGTATTGAGCCGGTACTCGGTTGATCAGTTGAATAAAGCGTCAGGTCTCAATCTCAAACTCCACACTATTTTATGAAATTTAATTTGTAGCACTTTGAGGCATCGCGATATATGGTTGTGTGTGACTCTACGTGAAACCTTAGCTGAACATTTTTCAAAATAACTAATTTCATTAACTAATCAACTAAAATATTCATTTTGATATACATCTACCGAGTAACGAAAAGTAAACTGGATATGATCAAAGTCAGAATGAAAATCATCACATGATTACTCCTCCTTAAGTGAGCAACTAAGAAGTGAGATGTAGCTGAAATCTACTTACTAACTGTAGCTACTAGTTTCGAGATTCACTGCTTCTGAGAATATTCACATGTATTTTCACCTTAATGTTTCGATTTCATTGGTTATTACCAACACAATTACCGTAGTCCATTTTTATTCTCAAACTGATTCCACTCCACATGAAATGACTGTTGTCACATAATCGTCGTATTATGTGTGTTGTTTTCATGTGGTTGTTTGCATGCACGTATGTATGTACCACAGGGTAATAGTAAGTACAGTTAGTTATCTTCGAGTTCTTCCTTTTGGAG